TTTATCTGTTCACCGTTTCGGTATGAGTAACTTGTCTTTTCATAAAGGCTAAATCGGGTTAGTTGTAGATGGCAAAGAAAAGTGAATTTTGGTCCTTCGGCTGTTAATCGCCGGAAATCTTATTCTTGTTCAAGTAAAACATCATGTATTCATTCATTTTTAATGCTCTGGAAATACAACTGACTCTTCCAATGTAATTGCATTACTTCACCATTTTCTCCCCAAACTTGATTTACAGTTCATTTCAAATTACATGTTATAAACAGTGCTCTCTTGCTCTAGTTTTGATGTGCATCAGCTAAGTGTTCGGAATAATTCCGAAAACGGAACATGAAAGATCCCTCTGGTTCTTTGGTTTTATCAACCGGAAATACCCGTAGGCGGATATCGGTTAAACTTCCGGCTGCCGGTTGTAGAGGCTAAGCTATGACATGAAAATAAGTAAAGGTCTAATTATGATTTTAGCCCCCCTGGTAAAATTTGTGATTTACCTCAAGCTTGGATTAAGGTGGCCTACTTTTATAGGTTCAGATTGGTTACATAACTCCATAAGTTGCTGTTACCGATTTGATTATTGATGACTTTGATTTTCTTTAAAAAAATATGTTTTTTTTTATTATTAAGAGTTATCTGAAAATCCAATTAATCATGTTTAATCAATAACAAATTTACATGTTAGTCAAATGATTAAGATTCTAAAAAAAAAAATCTTATTATAACTTCTTTTGCTTCCCTCCCGGTTCTCCCAAGATTTTATAACTCGATACTCGCTCAAGTGATATCAAGCTTCTTACCACTTGAATTTACTGCGTTGGCAGAATCATATTATCACTTCAAGACAATAACTAACAGTGATATTAATTTGAACATATTGATAGCATTTTGAAAGTAGTTAGAACAATTTGTGCCAACTTAAATTAAGAGATTAAATCTAAAATTCCAGTATACTAGAGGGACTAAAACCATAGTTAGACCAATAGGGTTAATCATATAGACATGGGTGGCAGAGGTTAGGAACATGAGCCAAGATTTGGCCATTTATGGTTAATAATAAGAAATAATGTCTGAATACGCCATTGTTGCAGCTTTCAATCCAATAATTCAACCTTGATTAAAAAGTTTTTTTTTTGTGTGTGTGGACAACTCAATTGAGCAACAAGAGCAATGGTCAACTTCACATCATTTCATGCCTTGGATCCCATGGGAAGGGGGGAAAAGGGAATTTGGAAGTGTCCTTGAAAACATGATGTTTTCTCATGGATTTTGTTCACATGTCAACCTTTTCAGTCAAAACATGTGGGGCTTCTCCTCTCTTACTTTGGGGTAGGAATGCACCGAACCACGGATTCGAAAATATTTTTTTAATGTGAACACACAAATATAATAATCACATAAAAAATTTATATATAATTATTCGAAGAAAATTTGAATTTCAAGTGGGCATATACCCACCATAGATCCTTAATAGATCCACCACTAGATAGATCCAATTTACTCCATTTACAAAGGTTTAATATAAAAATATGTAAAAAAATGTTAGGATATGTGCTTTTAAAAAAGTCAACTGTCGATCAACGGGCTGTCAATAGCAATTAACTGTCGATCAATGGGTAATCAACAATCAACATGGTCAACGGCTCGACTCGACTCGATGGCTCGGCTCAGCGGCTTGGTTTACGCCTCGATCGGCTCGGTCAATGACTCGATCGTATTGATTAATGGCTCAGTCAACTCGGGTTGGTACAACTCAGGCCGGTTTAGATTGGTCCAGCCCAGTTATAGAAGACTCCCCTAGCGACAGACGAAGCCCACACGCGGAGGGCAGTGCGTGGGGTGCATGCGGTGACTCTACTAGTCGGAGTCTCACCAAATTTTATAGAAATGCAATTCAAGGGCTTGGGAGTCGCTTACCGGTATTGTTTTGCGACAGAGAATGGAGGAGACTCCTTTCACGAACAGCCAAAAACTTTGTTCTTCTCACCCCTCCTCTCGTCAATAACGACTTCAAATCTAAAGACATCAGTCGAAAATAAGCCCGAACCGTTTTATGCACCGACTCTCTCTCCTCCATCCATCAACCGCCACTCGCGATGCCCAGATATTGCCGGACCGAGCACTACTTGTCGTCCGTCACCTCCATGTTCTCTAACCCCGTCATTTCATTCAATGCCAACCGTGGCTTCTTCTTCCTCCTCTCGACCAAGGCACTCTGTCATTCCTTCTTTTGCAATGCACTCCGCCGAATCAGACCATGTTTCAGAGGTATTTCGAACTCGTTTCCATCGACCCTTACTAATGTACCATCCTTCATTCGGTTTTACTGAGCAACCCCATTCTTCTTTCCATATGTCGAGTTCGAATGCCTTTCCGTAGCATCCTGGCAACCCACCACCGACGTCTGAGAATCTCGAACGTAATCGACGTGGCCGATCCTATATAGTCCCATCCGAGGAACGTTTGAATGACTTCTTGCACTTCGAAAACGACTAGTTGGTTAGTTTTCAATCCATCTGCCATCGTCCCTCTTGAGTCTGTAAGTTTATCTCGAACCGCACTCTCGAAAATCTTCATATTCAAGATGTTGTTCGTGCATACTTTGATGCCATTGGTTGGACGTTATTTTCTCAAATTAAAACGACACTTTTTATGAACTAATTTTCGAGTTTTATTCAACTTTCACATTTTTCACGGTCTCGATTTGTCTCTATCGAATCTCCTGATGTTGTTTCGTTTGTGTGGAAATCAATTTAGCATGTCTATTTCCAATTTCAATCTTGCTATGGATTCGTGACAAACGTCACGAGTCTAGAATATCTAACTGCTTTAATCGAGATACCACAGTAATTCGACGCAGATTCGGCCTATTCTTTGCTCACTGGTTTCGACAATCAACCCTTCAACCCCAGCTCGACCAAGGCGATTCACTTTCACGACCTCCTATTACAATACATAAACCAGTTCTTAGCTTACAACTATTCGGGATGGAATTATTCTTCCGGTATTTTAAGTAAGACTGAACTTTTCTTCCTTTGGTGTATGTTCACTGGTAGAAAGGTAAACTTGGGCTTTTGGTTCGCCCATGCATTCGAGATCGTTATTCCATCCAATCGTCTTTTAATCATTGGTCCTTACATCACAAATTTAGCATCTCGTGTTGCTAATTTCGATATTATGGATTTTACTTACGCGTTCTCTATGGATAGCTTAGATGAATATTGCTTGGATTCAATGGGTTTGCTTGTCGAAACCGCCATCGCACCGTATTTTATTCCATCGGGAGTGATGACGCCACGCACTGAACGAGTCTTCACTCGCCGAAATATGCCTCCTCGGTCTCCACAGCCGCCGCTGCCTCTGAAATTGCGAGAATAAATGCACGATGTCAACGATTACCTCCACTCCTTCGAGGCGAACATCAAAGAGATTTTGTCTTACCTTCGCCCTAGCTACAACCGTGGCCATGGTCGCGGTCGCTAATGACCATGGGGGAATATTCTTTACCCTTACCTCTTGCACTTTCCATTTTATTTCCATATTGGGGCAATACGATTTAAGTGAAGGGGTAAATATTTCATTGAATTTCATCTTGTCTTTGAAATTGTTTGATTGTATGCTTGATTGAATTTGTTGAATACTTGGTTGAAATTTTTTATTTCCGTTGATTATCTTTAGCATGTTTTGATTGTTTAAGTTCATGTTATGAAACAAATCTAGCTTGAAGCGATTTCATCATTATTGTTTTCAACTTTATTTACGTTTCCGTTTCCGTTTCTTTTACTTTGATTTTAATCTCTACATTCTTTACCTTTCTTTTTCTCACATTCGCAAAATTCCCCCTTTTTATTTTATTGTTCTATTTTAGCCCCTTGAAATAAAATCAACATAATACTACCTCAGGAATTTCTAAGTCCCTATGGATCAACCTTCTTTCACTATATTATACTTAATTCTATTTATTTTATTTGAGAAGAAGATTTATTTTATTTTGACGAGTAAAACGACACTTGTCAAAGATACCAGAATGCTTCAATAATTTCAGTTCCATGGTCGATAAAAGAAACTCGAGTGACCCAATTTCTTATTCTTTCGGCCATCTCAAGAACTCGATAGAGACAACTTTAGTGGTGATCAAGGGGATATTGCTTGAATACAGTAGCACCCTTCGACTTGTGACAATCTTGGACCTTTCAGACAACGTTTTAACTGGAGAAATCCCTGTCGGGATTACTGATCTTCTAGGCTTGAGATCACTCAAATCATTTGTCGGGAAGGATCCCTCTGACTATTGGCAATATGGGGACATTAGAATCTCTGGACTTTTCATACAACCAACTCTCTGGTGCAATCCCTCCAAGTATCTCAAAATTGACGTTCTTGAGTTACTTGAACGTGGCATACAACAATTTAACAGGGGAGATTCCGAAAGGCACTCAACTCCAAAGTGTCGATGCATCAAATTTTGCTGGTAACAACTTTTGCGGACCTCCACTTACAGATAACTGCACCATAAATGCTGTGAAGCCTGATGATGCAGGAAATAGGGAGGGATCAGAGGGTGGACTTGAAGTTGATTGGTTTTGGTTTTACGTGAGTGCAGCACTGGGATTTGTCGCTGCGTTTTGGAGTATTGCAGGTCCTTTTCTGTTTAAGAAGTCATGGAGAGACGCCTATTTCAAAATGCTGGATAGCATGGGGACGAGGGCTCGGCAGTGTTTCCATCGATAGTTTCTGAATCTAAAGAAACCTGATTGTCTTTGTTTATATGGTGATTTATTGTCTCAATGTGTTTCAACTGTTGTAGTGTATACTTAAGTGGTTCTAGGAAAAATAAAATTGCAGGAACAAGTTTTGTGCCCAATAGCTTAACAGCAGTGTCCAAACTTAAAACTATATATTATACAGAGTAGCAGTTTCTCATATGCTCTGCATCCTATATTGCAGCATCAAGCCATTAACTACATTACCACGCGGATTCACCGGCACGGTTGTTTCTAGGCCAGATAACTTACCGAAGATATAATTTATTCTTTGAGCTGTCTAGTTTCTTCTTGGAGGGTATCATATAAAGTCTCAACAAGATTCAGCAGGAATACATCTGAACCATGTTTTGCCACTAGGGAAATTGCCACAGGAACATCATCATACATCCCTAGAGGTAAACTAACCTGTAGAGAACAGATAGTTCAACCCAATCAAGATACCTACCAAAGACACATAAGAAAAAGGAAAAGAACAACATAACTTATAGCATATCAATTTCGAACCTGACAGAAACCAGATGCTCCGGCAACCGACAATAAGCCGAAAGGCCTAGAAAAGAACATATCCGATGCAGCTGGATTTTCTTGCACTTTTGGCGGTTCCTCTGGTGTTGTTGGGAGTGCAAGGATTCCATGATCCTTAAGATATCGTATTAGTTGACTGATTTATACGAAAGAAAAAAAGGATTTGCCTAGAACTGCTTCACATTGGAAGTAATAGATGTTTCTTACCCCAAGCAGTGTGGTGAGTGCAGCACGTAATTCTGTTCGCACAGAGTGGATGAAGTCGATATTTTCTCCGGTTACATTAATCGCATCCCATATGCGTTCATATATTCCTGGACCGAAATCCGGATTCACTTTGGTGACCCATTCACCATGGTTATTCTTAAATTCATACCTACAGGAAAATAAACAATGCTTAAATACCTTATCTTAAGTTCATACTAAAAAATTTCGAGATGTTTTCGCACCTCTGAAGTAATCTCACTGCATTTGAAAGGGCTGCCAATGATGGTATATTAAGTTCTTGGTCTTCATTTCCCTTATCAATGAAATGCTGCAAGCTTGGCACTTTGTCCTTCACATAGTCTCCAAGAATAATATGCTTAACACATTGAGCTGCACTTTTATGCACATAAAATCATATATGTTACCATTCGAGCCTAGCCGAGGAAGTCTTTGGTAGATTTACTTACCTCCAAAGAGCTTTTCAGTTGACTTTACTAGAACTTGAGCTGTTCGATCGCTCGGAACATTAGACGAGCGAAAACAATCATCTGCAATAATAATCTGACTCGGTTCGATAGGATCGACATCAGGTAAATGCAGAAGAACACGTCCAACGCGGTTTAAAATCATAGGATCCCGAGCAAACCAACCTACATGTGAATTTTTGGGGTCAAAAGAATGATGCCAAATGAAGGCCCTGCCAGCTATGTGGTTAAGACATAAAAGTATAGATCAAAGTATTTATTAGTTGCTCTAGTTACATATATCCCTTACCCACAGTATCAAAACTCTGTGACATAGGAACAACTCCTACAGTAGAGACGGCGCCGAGAGAAGGCCGAAATCCGAGAATTCCACAGTACGATGCAGGGACTCTTACACTTGCTCCAGTGTCGGTTCCTGTTTTAGAAAACAAAAGCTAGTTCACTTTAAGGAGGTTAAGGAGGATATACAGTGAAAGACATCTCAATGGAAATACTCACCAAGGGAGAAATCCACTAGCATCGCAGCTACAGAAACTGCAGAGCCGCTCGAAGATCCTCCGGGCACCCTGCCTGGTGCACAAGGATTCGTCGGAGTGCCGTAATGTTTATTTACTCCATACATACTGAATAAGAAAAAAATCACACATACAAGTATTATGTACATATACATATATATGCAGTCATATAAATTTATCAAAATTCTAACCAGTAAGCCATTTCATCCATGATGGTTTTTCCAAGACAAGTTGCACCTGCCATTAGGAGGTCCGTCACTACGGGCGCTGTCGCTGTAGCGGCGGAATGTGTCCCAGCCCAGTCAGGGTTTCCGAAGCCAGTGATGTATCCCTCTATGTCAAATCTAGTTCGTAGTTCCAATGAACTTAAAATCAATTAGACTTTAGACATACAAAGCATTAAGATGCTAAAAAATTAGTATAAGATGGATCAAAGCGGTGACGAACATGTCTTTAACAGCAAAGGTAAGGCCACTCAAGGGGAGCTGGTGCTGTGAAGAGCTTGGTTGGAGAGTAAAGTTCTCCATGAAAGCTCCGAACTTCGAGCTTTTCGCCATGTTTCGTGTTGAGTCTTGTGTTGAGTATTAACTTCATTTATCTTTACAAGACAAATCAGTGTTGAGTCTTGTGTTGGGTGGATTGTCGGTATCATTCTCGAAAGTAATGGAATTCCATGTCTGAATGATATATCTGTCTTTTTGCAGTTTAAGATTAGGCAAAGATGACAGATGTAGTTCAATGATTTGTTCGGACAAAATTCTTAGATATTGTTCAAAACTTGGATGTTGAGAGGAGTCAAGTTGGCAAGAAATGTGATACCTATGAGACGAAATTGGATCATAAACCAGAGATCGAAAATAATTGCAGTGCAGTCAATGATCTTAGCTTTGGTATTTGGGGTTTCAAATTCTGATATTATGAATGAAGTAATTGAATTAAGAGGATCGATTTCATAATGATTTGGATAAATTATACAAACACTCTCTTATGTTTTTGGTTTGATCGGTTTTAGTCATCGATTCAAAAAAATAGTAATTTTGGTCCTTTACGTTATCAGTTTGTTCGGTTTTAGTCCTCAGTCGTTAACTCTCATTAACCCGATAACTAAAAATTTGAATAAACTATACAAATAATTCTTTTTATTTTCTGTCTGATCCTAATAAAACAAGATATCACCATTGTGAAGCAGAAAGATTGAAGATATCCCGAGTGTTGTTGGGCTCTCCACGACCACCATTGTTGCATGCATCTATTCAGAAAATACTCTCATGTATCCACGACAACCATTGCTGTAAGGAATTGTCCTCAGATTTCCGTTTATAGGTTACCAAAAGTTAGCGGTTGAGGAGTTAAAATCAAACGGAACGATAACATAAAGAACTAAATACATATAAGTTTTGAACCGGTGATCAAATTCGATCAAATCAAAATAAAGGGGTTTTCTGTATAGTTTACCCATAATTTTTTAATAATTATTTTATACTTAAAAAAATTGTGGCTTAAAAAGAATACGTTTGTCCCTTTAGTAGATTTAATTTATCATTTTCATCGTGTGATTTTTTACATCAATTTAACTCTAAAAATTACTTAATTGTATTAATGTTTAAAATTTATAATTTATCACTTTAAGAAAAACTCATTTAAATAGAATTATTTAAATTTTAACTAACATACTATAACGACAACAATTTGAAGTAGTTTGTGGATATTTTTTTTATTTTGTTGATAATCATCAAAATAAAAAGTAAAAAAAAAAACATAAACAATTTTATCCGTTTATAGAATATCACAAAATTTTCAACTTCCTTGATATTTTTTATTTATCATTTTTATGAAATTTTTACTTATCTTAAGTATATTACTTTCTTTTATCTCATTTATGTGAGGAAATTAACCTAGAAAAAATGAAAAAAAATCTAATTTTCCTTCTTCTCATTTATTATTATGTTTCGAAATTAAATTATTTAAATATCTAAAATAAGTAGATAAATATTATAAAATAAAATTAATAAATTTGGAATCGAAAACTAACGTTCTTCTATATTTTTTAATGTTTAAAAGCTCTCCTCTGTCATGATGGGTTCATGAGAAGCACATATTCAATCTTGAGTATAAATAAGAGCTTCCACCAACTTATGAGTGAGAGAGGTGCGGAAGGAATCAAGAACACATCCTCCCGAACTAAAAGCAAACTCCGAAGCAACGGTAGAAACCGAAATCACAAGTATATCATGTGTCAAACTCATAAGAATAGGATAACTATTTGTTTGCACAAATTACCAAGCTAAGATATCAAAATTATCATTATCACGAACACATTGATCCCCTAAATATATGTTTAGCTCAAATGTAGTTTCAGAAGTGTCATTTAATTCTACCTATATCACATAATCCCCAAAATATCGACCCGAAAACCCGGTAAAAGTAGCAGGTCGAGTACCCGACACGTAAAATCGAATATTTTTATTATAAATACTCGGTATTTTTTAGTCTAGTCGGCGGGTCGACGAATCAGATCATCCGGGTCAAATTTTTTTGAATACATTTATCAAGTTTTATCAAGTTCCTTATTATCTATTATCAAATTAATAATTATTATCTAAACTTCCTCTCTTTTAATGAAATCATTTTTAAAATAACTACTAAAAATTTATTAAAAAAAAGTTAGCGACATACTCGCGAATTTACAAATTGAATTATACCTTACTCAACTCAACTCTTTAAAGTGTTAAGTCGAGTTTGAGTTCGAATTGAGTCGATCTAAATCGATTATTAACTTAGTTTTGACTAAATCAAATTCGAACAACTCACGACTCAAATCATTAAACACCCTTAGAATACTCATGCATTTCATAAATGGGCTCAAGTTTATACCCTAGTATAGACAATAACCGATCCAACAATTCACATGGAAATCCATTTGGGTACACTATTTGAGGGGGGGAGCAAAACTAAAACTATATCTATTCATCATACATCCCTCAGGACTTGAAAAACAGGGTTTGGGGGGATTTGCCTATAGGGAAAACTAAACATTTCCCTTGCAAGCTTTTGTGTAAAGCACCCTAGTGAGAGCCAAAAAAGATCGATGGAAAAGAAAAAGCATTACTAATACTGGGAAAATTTTACATGATACTGCAGCTGTTTGCGTTTTCATCACTGAAGTAATGAGCATACGATTCGGAGTGGGGCTGATGCATAGGCGGAGGGCCGTAGCTTGCTTGGGGAGGATATGGTTGAGCATACATCATTGGCTGATACATCCCCCCATTTGCTCTCTGCTGGTTCATCATCATGGCAGGCATATATTGAGGCTGATTATAGGGATTCCCAGGCCCCATCCCTTGATAATACCCACCACCACTGTTCATTGGTGCTGCTGGTGCTGGTGCTGGTGCTGGTAGTCCTTGTACTGCAGCAAAGTTACCCATCTGGTTCATTGGATAATTCCCCATTTGGCCCATCTGTCCCATATTCTTGCTTCCATTGCCACCTCCGTGGCCACCGCCAGGGGCCGCACCCCCACCACCACCTTTGCCATGATTAATAACATCAACGTTTTGAAACCCACCACTTTTAATTTTGTTCATCATCTCATGATGGCCCCCACCACCACCATTTTTGCCCCCACCTTTTTTAGCTCCATTGCCATTATTGTTCCCACCACCACCATGGCCTCCATTTGCATTATGAGATGAGCCCTTATTTTTACCATAATCATCCCACTCATTTTTACCCTTCTTACCGGAATCTTTTCCACTTTTATCCTTCTTGAAAAACCCAAGTAAACCTCCTCCCCCACCCCCTTTTTTACCACCATGTTTATCACCTCCTTTACCCCCTTTATTCTTTTCACCTCCTCCTTTCTTTTTGCCTTCTTTCTTCTCCCCCATGCCTTTCATCACCATGGGCATATCAACAGCTCCACCTTTCTTCCCATTATCCCCACCACCACCACCGCCTTTTTTACCATTCATGGCATGACCATTAATCATACCATTTGGCCCCCCATGGCCTTTTCCCATCATAGCCACCATCTTGTTTTGCATCTGACCCTGCCCATGTCCATGACCAAATTCCTCATCATCATCATCGAACTCATCATCAAATTCATCATCAAACTCATCATCATAATCATCATCACTCCCATCATCCTCAGGCAAGTTAAACTTGACAGATTTCTGGTCTTTGGGAGGGTTAAACCCTTTCATCATCTGCTGCATATGTTGCAGATGCTGTGGTGCAAATTGCTGCCCACCTTTCTGCTGGTTATTTCCGCCGCCGCCGCCTCCACCACCACCGCCTTTCTGAGATTTGTTGTCCTTCCCCCCTTTGCCACCATCCATACTTATGTTCTTGAACTGGTTGGGCAAATTATTTGAACCCCCCTTTTCAGCACAACCCCATAACTGTGCATGTTTCCCAGATTTCTGCAGCTTCTTGATGAGTACAGCCGGATCAACATTACCGGTCCCGGTCACCGTCACCTTCCCTTGATCTACATTTACACTAGTCGTATACACCCCTAACCAAAACAATAAAGAAATCAATTAAAACCCCAAAAATAAAACTCGAATAACTAGCTAAAAAGATGAACATATAAGAACAAATACCATCAACTTTCTGCAACAGCTTCCTTATTTTCTGCTTACACCCATCACAGCTACACTGTATATTCACTTTGAGAACCCATGTCTGGAAACAAAACACAACCATAAACAGTGTTGAAAATCAAGTAAAAATCATTACTTTTTTTCAAAAATGACCCAAGGTGAACTAATTAAGTTAAACAGTACCTGCATCTTCATGGCATCTTGTTTATTCATCCTTTGAACAGATAGTGAAAAAGAAAAGATCCAAGGGAAGTGAAACTTTTGGTTCTTTGTTTTCTGAAATAGAAATTGGAAGAAAAAGAAACCCTTTTGCTACAAGGTTTTAAGAAAACGAGGAGAGCTTAAAGGCGGTTGTTGGTGCATTAAAGAGCTGCTCTTTTAGAGAATAATGAAAGGAGAAAGACAGAGATATAAGGGCTAAGGCGGTTTTGCAGAAGAGATGAAGGTATCTTGAAGATTTAAATATTAAAAAAAAGAAAATTAAAAATTAAATAAACAATGAAGAACAGCTAGCTAGTTAGCTAGCTAGGTCTCAGGGAGCTTGACAGTGTGAGCTAAGCAAAGATCAGCGGGCTTGGCTTTATACTATTTGAAGCTTCGGCTTCCCAGGTGATTTACAGCAAATTTCAAGTTGTAAGGTGATTTTTCCCAAATATCACCCTTATATTTTTCTTGTCTGGCATAGTTCAATTTATATTTATCGATCTAACCATCTTTACAACAATTAATAATGTTTATTATTTTTAATAAAATTAAAATTTAATATTTTTTTTATATTTTTTAAAATTAATTTTAGAAAGAATATTTTAAATAAATATATGATATTTTTTTAGTTTTACATTATATTTTTATTGAATTTTATTTTTTTAATTCATTTTTATTGTATTTTATTTATTTTTTAAAAAGTAAATAATAATTAATTTGATCTATCAATTGTAATTAAAAGTTTATTTTAATATTTTTAAACAATTAATTCTAAAAGTCAAACATCTCACAAAAAAATAAATAGATAAATTTGGCATTTTTACACATATATCACTCTAATAGAAATTAATTACATATTAGGTATCATTTTAAAAATATTTAAAAAATTAACACCTAGATTTTTTTACACGTTTAACAAGGCACATTATTAGGGCGCGCTTTACTGCAAAATGTGTTAGATCGAAAAATATAATCTGAACAGTGCTTAATATAAAAATATATATGGGTGTAGGGTGACATAAAAATTATTGTGCCAAAGTGGAACACTTTGGTTTTAATTTTTTTAAATAAAAAATTTATTTTTTAATAATTTTAAGATAAACTACACGTTTAATATTTAAATTATTATTTTTATTCTATTTTAATACTCAAACTTTTTTTAAAAACTATACATAACCTTAATCATTGAAGTGACATCAAAAGGAAATATAATGTTACAATTAAAAAATAAAAAAAAAATATCACTTCAGTCATTTTGTTAATTTTTTACCTACGATACCAAATTAAAATTAATCTAAACGTTAAACTTAATTTAAAAAAAAGAGTTTGGATATCAAAATAAAATAAAATTAAACAATAATTGAAATAATAAACGTGTAGTTTATCCTAACTTTTAGGTCCTCTTAAAGTTCAATAATATTCTCTTTTAAATTCTCTATAAAGTATTCGAATTTATATTTTATTAGATATTATAATATCAACAATCAAATGATTTAGTGAGATAAGATACTAATTTTTTCAAGTAAGATTAAAAGTTTAAATTCTGACATTTATAAATAGAACAAAATAAATTAAGGATTATTCTCATAATGGCTTATACAAAATTCGATTCATAATAATCGAATGTGAAGCATTGTGTTTCACATTTGTTTAAATAATTTTGGTATAATAGAAGGATTAAAATCAACATTTGACCAGTTTAAATGTAGTACCGTGCGTTTGTAATCGTGAACTAGAAGCCGTATAAGTCCAAGGTGAGGCACTGTGTTTCACAATTTGTTCGTTGTCGACAAATGGTCGGCGTGGTCCGGTTCGGTGTCTTGCCATTACTGCACTTTCAGACTTAACTGGTTTGACTTATGCGGCAACTTGCTTAGCTAATCGCACATGCTGTTTTACTGTTTTTATTTCTATTGAATTCCAATTGTTAAAGCAGATGTTTCAACAGTTTACACACTTTGGTAGGAGTGTTCAAACCGGTAATTTGGTTAACCGAATCTAATCGAATTACTTAAATTCTATTAATCGATTTTTTTTCATTAACTTTTAATTGAATTAATTTCTTTTCTAAAAAAATTTAATCGAACCGAACTAAGTTTGGTTAATTGATTGACTAATCGAATTAACCGAAATTTATTGTCACTGGCTAGAAACTTGGGTCCGGGATATTGGTGTAAGTGTCCGACAAATACGGAGTATCAGGCTTACCCTAGACCACCAGACTTAGCCCAGTTCTTGGAGAATGCTTAACAAGTCCGTGAAAGATCTATTCTGAGGCATCTGAGAGAAGCGACGAGGGCGATGGAGGCAATTCTGTTAAAGCTCGTGGATTCGGACCGAGACATGTGTGCTCAGAATTCTATAAGAGTATAATACAAAGTGTTGGGCCTGCCCATAACCATTAGATCTGGCTCGTTCCTTGGAGGATTCTAGAAGGATAATGTTAGGTGGGATTTCCTTGATTTAAGGGATTTGGGTTAGGTGGGAATCAATCCTAGCCCTTCATGTAAAACGATATTGGCCATTGATTGAGATAGAGCTCAACTATAAATAGAGAGCTATCCTCCTCATTTGTAATCACCCAATCATTCATTCTTCTCTTTGAGAAAGAGTAATAAAGCTCTGAGGCATTTGCTCTATTCTTTCTTTGTTCCTTGTTCTCTTTGTGTTGTTGCCTATCTCGGTGGCCAGGAGTAGCCACAATCGTGTTTACACTTCCACAAAATAGTTCGACTTTGGTGGCTTAAGAGTAGCCACGTTGGTGTTAAAGCTTCTGCAATCCTAGAAGCCTTGAGGGCTTGGTTCCAACCTTTGTGAGTTTGCATGATCACTAGGCTTGGGTAAGGCTTACTTAGTTGCAGAGAAGACCAAGAAGCGTCAAAAGCGTCTAAGGTCGCACGATCCGTAAGACCTTGACTCTGATATTCTGACGGTTTTAGGCGTCAAAATTCTGAAGGCGTGACAAGTGGTATCAGAGCGAGTCGTTGTGGGCATACAACGATCGTTTTAACCGTGTTTGGTGGAATGTGTGAAACCGGGTAAGTTATATTTATTTACTGTTCAATCAATTTACTTTGATAATTGAGTTGGCAAAGTTAATTGAGATGGGGCACAAGAGAAATGGAGTTTCCACACGCAAAGGCAATGAGTGTCATGGCGGGAAACGAGAAGAGAGTCTGGTGGGCTCAAGAGCATCATTGGTGTCCAAGCATGGGGATGTCATGATGAGTTCACAAGGAATGCTCGAGGCAACGAAAGTACACCAAAAAGAGCTAGTTCTCGAGGTAGAGAGGCTCAAGAGTGACGCTGAAGGTATGTCCGAACGAGACAACACATTCTCTCATGAAGACGATGAGAGTCTTGATGAGGAACAAGAAGAAGAACTAACAATGTACGGGAAATGGTCTTACTTGATGGAAGGTTTTGGTGACCACGCAAGGAGGCTCTTCAATATGGAGCAAGTCTCAACTTCGTGGGAAGAGATAGTCAGGAGACTTGAAAAATCCGAAGATGAAGCCAAGGAGACCCAGGGTGTTGTGGAGTCCCGCCTTGATAGAATGGAGTCCATGGATGATAGATTCAAGGACGAGACACAACGTGTTCTCAACGAGTTGGAGATGGTTCATGGGAGTAATACCCAAGAAGCCGAGGTAATGGCTTTGAGAAGCGAGGTGGATGAGCTCAAGAGGAAGCTGCTCATATGCAAGGGAGCAATGAGTGAATGGGGTGCTCTCAAAACCTTCTTGGAATGACTTAGACCAGGGGAGATGCTCGGGGAGAGCAAGGTGATGCCCAGAGACTTTTGGAGGCCATAGCTGTAACCGGAACGCTGACCGAGCTTGCAGATGTCAAGCCTAGGAGCGATGTGTCGTCCAGGCCCATGCCTAGGGATAGTGGCAACAATGGGGGAAACCAGGAAAAGGTGCAGTGGGGAGATGGTAGAGAAAGCTCTTCGAATGGCCAATGTGAACCATCGACTGTTCGTAGCCAGGGAAAGCCATCGGGAAAGAATCACAAGGTTAGGTCCGGTGCGAAGAAGAATGCGAACAAAGAAAAGTCGAAGTGCTACTTCTGTGATGGTCCTCACTTGATTAGAGGATATCCCGAGAAACGTCGCCTTACAACCATCATGAAGAGGATGAGAAAAGGAGAAGTAGCAAGAATTGGTGCAGTCGCAAGTGTTAAATCTGCCAAGCCAGGAAAAAGACTTGGTCTGATTGAGGGAATCAATGCGGCCAAGCTAAGTACGAGACGAGGCAAGGTTGTTGATGCTGAGGCAGTCGAACCTAGAAGGAAGCTTGATGCGATTACGAGTGTTTAAGCAATCAAGTCAGAGGCAAGACTTGATGAGGTTACATGTTCCAAAGTAGCCAAATCGAGGGGCAATGATGATGTGACTACAAGTTCTCAAGTAGTAAATCCAAAATCGAGACGTGACGAGACTGCGGGTGTCAAAGTAGTCAAGCACAAGAAGAGACCTGGTACGATAACAATAGATAAAGCCGTCAAGTCGAGGGTACAAAGTGAGCAAGTTCGTTCACAGTATGTCATGATGGATGTGTGGTCCAAGTTTGAGGCGTCTTAGGCATAAAGGGACACTTAAAGAGTATGTGAGCCGATTCAGAAGACTCGTGCTCAAAGTCCCAAGTTTGACTGAAGAAGATGGGTTTTTCACCTTCATGTTCTAATTAAAGCAATGGGCAAAGAAAGTATTAGAGCGAAGGTAAGTCAAGGAGTTGTCTAAAGCCTTGACAACCATGAGTCCATCAGGGAATTTGGAGTTAGGAAGAATAAGACTTCTAAAGAAAAGCCGAAAGCAGAGAGTAGCGGCAAGAGATTCCGCGATGAATGCCAGTTAGAGGATGAGGAAGGTTGTTCCTCGACTGGCAGAGAAAGTCCACTCAATGATGAACCAGATGGTGGATTTGGTGAAGATGTGTACAGTCTTGGCACAAGTTCAGGTGCCAAAGATGCTAAGCCGAGGGTAAGAGTCGAGCAAACGAGGGGGCGTAGACTTCAGACGCCAGAAGTGTTGCGAGATTACCCAAGGGAAACCGAGTCATCCAAGGTGATGGATGAGCCCAGGATCCAGTTGTCCAGAGAAGAGGACACCCAAGATCGAAAAGGCGTTGAGACTTGGCTCAGTAAGGTTAATTTCTGCCAAGGCAAGTAGAAGCCAAGTGTAGGAGGAGGTGGTTATGTCCAATGAGTTTACC